TTTGTTGAAGACAATTTATTGTAGGAACTGATTCAAAATATGCTATTGAGAAAAAATGTTTTAATTCTAAAATGAAACGTTTTCGAAGACTTAATTGTTTGTGGTAATTTTAATGTGGAATTTCTTAGTGAGTTTTCTAAAAATTATTGTTGTTAGGCATTTTTTTTTTCATTTATAATTTCTGAAATTTATTAACATCTCAACGACCTTCGTACGTACTTTGTTGTTGCAATTTTTAATTTGTACATGTTGAGCAGCGACCAATTTCTCCACTTGCTGATGTTGACTGTTTTATCAGATTACGCCCACACGACGTGTGTAATAATGATTAGCGGAGTGCATCGGCGACCAGTTATCGCGTATCCGGTCTAAGAACAATTAATTCAATAATAATTTTTATTAGTCATCCCGCTGGCCGGCTGTACAGACGAAAATGGTTCGACAAGAGTTTTCAGTAATTTGTGCTAAATTATGTCTGAAATTGACCTGAATCTATTCCGCTGGATGTGATGTAGTTACCGCAAAATCATACCTATCTAGATGGTTTTAACGGCGTTGGATTATCTATTGCATTTTTTTTTTCGTTTTAAGGCGGTTAATATTAGAGTTTGTTCGTTCACAGAAATTACCAATTATGCCAAATGCGAGGTTTAAAAATTAGAGAATATTTTGTCTTGTTATATGTAGTTTTACAAATTTTTGTTCGTTTAAATTACAATGTTTTTTGGCAGGTATCGGGGAAATTGTAGCGATGACAAGCTTCTTTATTTGTGTTTCTTGATAAAAACCTCCCAGGAAGACAGGGAGAGTTATACCAATTTTTTTTTTTGAAAATTTTAATAAGAGATAGAACAGCAACTTCCAATCTTCGTCCTGAATTTTAGGTATTGCTATGTGTACAAAATAATGCCGAGAATTATTTCTGAATCGTTTGTTTCAATTTCGGACGGACTTTGTAATTTCCGTTTATATTTTAAATTTTTCTCCTAATTTTGACGAGTAATCAATGTTAGTGTAAAATTAACCAATGACATATTTTATAGATTATGTGATAATTAAAATTTTATTTTATTAATTTTATTTTTTTACGTTAAGTTTTTAGTGAAATATTGGTTTTTCAAATTTTCTGCCTAAATTTGGAAAAATGCTCACCTTCTTAAGCACAGGTTTACTAAATTTTGGAGCCGAGATTGTGGATAATTAGGTATAATGTTGTTCCCATCTTGTAAATAAGAAATGAAAGATTGTGTCTTTCTCGCAGCGCGGCTGCTGTTATTATGATTAGAGCGCTTGGATATCGCGCAAGACAATTGATTCAGGTTAATAGCCTCGCGATAAGATAAGTGCATTCCAATTGAAGCTTTTGCAGTATGGGTTAATGCATTTTATGGTTGGATGGATTTTGACTGCGTGTTTAGAATAACACAATTTTGACCGTTTTTCCTGTGAATGACAGAATTTCGTAAATTTCACTGATTACTGTTTTTTTTTTTTTTGGAATTTTGTTGTTTCTCTAACGCGAAGGTCTAAAAATGCCGATCTTTTGTCCCGAAATTTTTCTAATTTATTTTTACCGAATTGTGGAAATGTGAGCCTGATTAGCGTTTCAAAAAAAAATTCCCTTCTTTTGAATTTTCCGCTATCCGCCTTTTTGTTTACCAAAATTTTGGATTTTGTTCTGGTTTTGAAAAAAAATATCCTAATTTTTGGGAATTTAAAATGATTCTTTTTTTCCCGAATTTTTTTTGTATCCTGTGCCCGAAATTTTGAAAGATTTTGATCCTGTCCCCGAAATTTTGAAAAATTTTTGATCCTGTCCCCGAAATTTATAAAGATTTTGATCCTGTCCCCGAAATTTATAAAGATTTTTGATCCTGTCCGCAGCGCCAAATTTTGTGGTGGCCCTGCCGGCTCTTTTCTATAATTTATGTTAATTTTTGATGTCCGAGTTTTTATGGCCGGTGGGCGTCACAAAATGGTGCCCCTTAGGTCCTGGCCCGTGAGGGCCGTTTCGGGATGCGAGAAGGGTAAGTGAAACGCGAAGCGGTTCGCTCCATAGGTAATCTATTAATAAACAAATGCTACAGTTTAAACGAGTAAACGAGACGGAACAAGATTAGGGCTCGTACATCTTATTCGTAATTAAGACTAAGAAAATATTGCGAATGATTGGAAAGAATAATAAAAGGGCAGTAAACATAAACATTAAACTAAGTTAGAAGAAACGGGCAGGGTTGTGAAATGTTCCCTTTTTAAAGTATTATTAAAACTATAATATAGATGAGAATTAGAGGGTTGTTGGCGCTTTCCTAGGTCATGGCTCGAGATTTGGGGGGGGGGGGGGGTAAGTGATATAATTACAACCCTTCCTAAGGGATAGGGCTCCCAGTGTTGGGGACGTATTCCTTGACGGCGGAGGAGTGCTGGTTCACGGGATTGAACGCGTAGATGAGATAAAAACGTGGGCAGTGCCCTATAGGGCAAACTCCTCTGATACGGCACGGGGGTCCCGAATACAGTCGAAAGAATCTGGTTTGATAAGGGGAGTCAATCACTTGATGAGCGAGATTCATCCTGATGATGTATTAAAATCACTCTGAGATGCCGATAATATGACCGATAACCCGGTCTCCGCAAGGACAGAATAGGGCATGCCGTAACTAGGTCAGTGGGACTTACATGTCGTGGAGTTAGCGGCTCGGTGGAAGATCGGAAGCGACGAAGCGCCACTGCAACAGCTGAAGAAAGTTGGCTTGGAGGATGCACTTTCGCACTTGCCACTAGCACAGCGGCCGAAAGTTGGGTATCACGATTAGACTAGGAAGCAGTCCCATCCACACGCCAGACTGAATCGGAATCGAACTGAATTTTATTTCTAATCGAGACGTTTTTATAGGGTTTTCAAGCGTGAGAATAGCGAAGAAGATGTAACAAAAAAATGCATTTCTCGCAATTTTGTCGCCGGAAACGGCGGCGAGTGTTTGTAAAAATGCATTTCCCATAATTAATTGGCATCGGACCACCCAGAATGATAACGCATTCGTCAGACTTATTGGCCTTGATCGGAAGTGTTTGCTTTGACCCCAGGTTTCCCATGCAACTTTGTATATTAATTGCAATTGGAGTGATTTGATTGGGCGCGAAGTTGTTCTCCATATTTGGGCATGGAATGCATTTTGGCGAATATTCCTGGAAGGAAGTGTGACTATGTGGGGCCGTGAGAAGCGATCGTTTGCCTTGAAGATGATATTAATTGACAATACTGGGAAGTTCGGACTTTTGGTTCCCATGATAATGAAGGGTAGAATCGTTATGGACAAATACTATGTGCTACAGTAGGACTGTTTTAAGGGTTGAAATTCCGGTTCACCACAATTAGATATATGGAAAATTCGATGAATAAAGTATTCGAAAATCGAAAATTCAAAAAATCCAAATTTCAGAAACTGAAAATTCGAGTAACGAAAATCGAAAAGTCGGGAAATCAAAAAATCGAAAAGTAAAAAAGTTTAAAATTCGAAAATCAAAAACTCGGGAATCGAAAAACCTAATAATAAAAAATTAGAAAAATTCGAGAAATTGAAATTGAAAAAATTGAAAACTAGAATATCTAAAATTCGAAAAATCAAAAATTCGGGTTAGTATACCTGCTATTCGTAAAATAAGACCGATTTTGGCAAATGACATACACTCTAAGAAAAGAGAGGGCGGGCGGCTGGAGCTAGTACCTGCTAAGATAAGACTGATTTTAGCAAATGACGTATCCTGTAAGTTTTTAATTAAATTATTATAAGAAAAGACACTAGAGGTTCCTAAACACTTTCCTATTCTTTCCTAGAACCTCAAGATTGTTCTAAATTTTTCAAAAAAAAAAAAAACGGTACCAAAATTAACTCAAAAACAGGTCAGGTCAGAATTTTCAAAAAACAGAAGACCACAGAGATAGAGATCTACCCTTTATTTTCTTTGAGGGTGTCATTTCCCAAAATCAGTCTTATCCTAGCAAGTACTAGTCCCGCCCACCCGCCCTCAGTTTTCTTGGGAGGTATGCCATTGGCCAAAATCAGTCTTATCTTAGCAAGTACTAGCCCCGCCCACCCCCTCTTCACATGCTAACAACTAATTTTATTTCAGTATAAGATCATTCATTTCATTCAGATCGAATAAAATCAATCACTGAAAAGGAGATGGGGTGGGTGGGTGGGTGGGTGGGGCTAAGTGTGTCCTGTCGACTAATTTTCGGAAATAGTTAAAAATTGATAGAAATTGAAATTGTCTACATTTTCCGCGTTAGTAATTTGCTTTAAAAATATTTCATATTTAAACACGTAGGAGTTGCGGGGATGTAAATTACGCCATTTTATACAAGTTAACAGTTATCACAAAACGAAAATCGCAGAATCTAATTTTATAATTTTGTAAAGAAGCAGAATTTATTGGACCATACTTCAAAAGGTGAGGGAAGTTCTGTCAAAATAAGCTTCTACAATTTTTCTACTAGCTACAGTAATAATAATACCCAAACAACATCTGTACAACTTTGAAAATTTCCCTCATGTCCTCAATCCGACACTGTTGTTAGAGTATAAAAACAGATGTACTTTTAAATGCGGAAATAACTTTAATGTAGTTTGTGATTCATCTATAAATGTTACGCCAATAATGTGTAAGCAAATGAAACGAGTAATCAAAACATTTTCAAGCCAACAGTTCATATATAACCTCGTTAGTAATTCAGTAATTTAAATTTTGACCATTATAAGAATTACTCAAAAATACGAAAAATATTTTCACAGCCTACTCTAGTCAGAATTTTTTTTTTGCCTAGCCGTTATAAAATTCATATTATGGACAACATGTGTTAACTTTTGTTTACTCTGTAATCGTGCCAGGATTTGTGTGTTGTTGTGTACTTTAAATTTAAACGTTGTTTTTATTTTAATGGGTATTTTAAATTATCTAGGGATTTTTGCGCTACGTTTCTTTTTTTTAGTGCTACTGCGCAAAATGTGATTTGGCAACAAAGCAAAAATGACAGCAGCGGTTGTTCCTGGATAATATTCCTTAAAATATTTGTCATAAAACAGTGGGTGTAACAAAATCCGTACAAGCTTTCTACAAACGAAATTTTAAATAATTAGTGTGTGCAATATGTGCGTCGTAATTCTCCGAACGAATTAATTAACAATGTTTCGACAATTCTCCAAAATTGATATATGTAATTCTTGATTATTTTGAAAAGTAGGTTGATAGAGAAGGTGTAAATAATGGAATTGGAAGATTCAGGCGGGGGTCTCGGTTCCGAGACCATTTATGGCACCCACGAGGACTCACATGTGGTGATGTCTGAAAAAGTCCAGTCTCTAGCTGGGAGCATTTACCAGGAATTCGAACGAATGATCGCCCGCTATGACGAAGACGTTGTTAAGACGTTAATGCCTTTACTTGTAAATGTACTCGAATGTTTGGACGCTGCTTATCAACAAAATCAGGTAGACCACCAAATTTGTGCAAAAATGCAGTCATGTCATACAGTTGCATTCACAGGAGCATGATGTCGAACTGGAGTTATTAAGAGAAGATAATGAACAGCTTGTCACGCAGTACGAAAGAGAAAAAGGTGCTAGAAAAGCATCTGAGCAAAAATTGTTGGAATTTGAAGATGCGGCGGAAGGTAGAGCTAATTTTAAACCAGCCTTTACAAACTGCTAAATTCCGTTTTATTTCAGGAGAAAGAAAAGAACTAGCCGCACGTCTTGAAGCGCTAGAAAGTATAGTGAGAATGCTTGAACTGAAACATAAAAATTCCATGGAACACGCGGGACGGTTGGAAGAAAGAGAAGGAGAATTGAAAAAAGAGTATGCTAAACTTCATGAACGTTACACTGAGTTGTTTAAAACCCACATGGACTATATGGAGAGAACCAAGCTCCTTTTGTCTGGTCAACAACTTGCCAATGAGAGAGCAGAAGTAGGCCGATTGAATTCCAATAGGATTAATGTGGGGCGCAGCTCCGGACCTATATCTTTTGGGTTTACTTCTTTGGAAAATGCGGAAGTTGTGGATAGCGTACCATCTTCTCCAATAAGCAGCGCCCACTCATCACCCAGGTATACGGTCATGTTTAAAAAAAATAATTTTGTGGTGTCTGTCAATAATTGTAGTTTGCACAGTGAGTTGGATAATATGACTACCAAAAAGGGGATTAATTATGTTGAAAGAGGACAAGAAACGGATTCATTGAATCTAGAAAACAAGAGCGTTATTACATCACCAGTGAGTCCCCCTGGACCACAACCCACTAATAATAATACTGGAAGATTGCATACAAAAAAAGAACAGAGAAGTGGGAATACTCTATATCAGGAACTCAGTTTTCAGGTTGGTATAGTTTTAAAACTAATTAAAATTACAAGGTATTTATTTAAACAAAAGTTTAAAAATATGCACTTGAATGGCCAGGGAAAACCTGTACTTCAATTATTAAATGAACTTTATCTATTTGCGAACGTGTAAAAAATTGCGTTATCTGTGTTTTATAATCTACTTCTGAACATTCAACTTTCATTTTCTTGTAATCGGTGTAAAGGAATTTAAATTGGTTACACTGTAAGGGTCATTGCACATGAGATCAAAGTGCGTGTAATTTATTACAAGTGACTCTCACATGATCGGCATGTTAATTCAAGAATAAATTTAAATGAGTTGACAGAAGTACTGTAGATCCAATATTTGTGTTATAGTTAACGTATAATTTTTATTGGATTGTTTTTGGACAAACAAGATGTTTAATCAGTTTGTCAATAAATTTTTACAAAAATAAAATATGTTATTTAGTTTTTAATTAAAGCAAATTTACAGATATTAAAAACAAATAAATGTAACCACAAATAGGTGCAAAAACATTGCATTTGTGTGGTAATATTAAATGATAATGTGATATAATAATCTTCTAAACAAATATTTATTATTCTTTGATAATGCAGATTATATACCTTGAAATTAAAACCATTTATGATAGATTATTTATTAAACTATTAAATATCACATTACAAATTTATATAGCGTTCTTTTGGTGAAAAAAAAAGGTGTGTGTCTTTCAGGCATGTCTCGACTTTATTGAACATAAACTTATCAAGATTTATAGTCAGTTTTTGTTATTAATGGTGACCATTAACAACAACTTATGATATTATTTATACAAAGTATTGATAAGGTAACGATTCAGACAATGAATCTTATAGATTACCTATATCCTTTGTTCTGTGAAAATATTATGGTCATGCTTGTAGTTCAACGTTTACAGAAATGAGAATTTTGTAATAACTTGCTGAGCTTCATATTGTTTGGGGTACATAGTGATTTTGTTTTTCAAATATGTTTACATAATACATAAACATATAGTAATAATTACTTACTGTGTAGCAAAAAAGTACAAGCTTAACTCCAAAAGAATGTATAGGAGTGTTGAAATTTTTTAAACGCCGTAGTTTTTATCTTACAAATACGTCGCAAATATGACACATATTGGAACGCAAACCTATATTTTTTTAAAATTACAGCGTATATTTTTTTTAAGATTGTGATAAGATTATGATATATACACACACCTACACGTGTTACATGTGTACACATGGTCAAGTGAATGGTCAAATCCACATTACATCTGTCACCTGTGTGATTCAGTCTTACATGTAGTGATTAAAGCTTCAAAATTTTGACGAATCAAGAAAGTGTCTAGGCTATTTTAAAATAAATTATCTAAATGAGAGATACATCTAGTTGCCATATACAGGGTGATTAAAAAATGGCGCACTAAGTCAATGGTATATTATTGAGTTTATAAGTCTAAGTTTGAAAAAAAGCATTAAAAAAATTCCTTGTCAATTTTCAAAAGGTGAAAAAGTATTATAACTAAAATGAAGAAAAACATGAAAATTTAAACCTTGAAGACCTCTTTCTACATTTGAGCCCAAAGATTTTTTAAATAATTTTTTCTTTGCTCACTAAACACTCCTTAACGTGTGCTAGAGTTTGTGCACAATTTTTTAATCAGCCTGTAGTGTCATGGAAACACGTGCAAACACAATTTACACCACTAGTGTTAATTTTTAACGCCAAAACTACTACCGTATGATTGAAAAAAAATGAAGAGTTTTATTTTGAAAATAATGAAGTTGACAACACCAATGCGTTCCTTGTTCGGTTTGACAGTTATGGTCAAATAACTGAAACACCAGCATCATTTTTTAAAATAAACTTCATGGCCTTACTGACGCCATATGTGCTTCACATTTGTAGTTTACTAAGTTAAGCTAAACACAATGGCGTTTATAGAATTTCAATATCTCTATCCGTTCTCGGGATATTAGGCCGTGGAATTTTATGTGGGATACCCGCACATAATTCTAAGTTAAATAATATAGTTTTTGCAAACTACCACCGGACAGGGAAGATCATAAAAAATAAGCAATAATAAAAATCGCAATTAGGTGTTAAGAAAGGCGGTAGGTATCAAGACCCTACCTTAAATAAAATCCCTTGCTATTCCATTATTTAAACTAGTTTTATAATTTTAGCGTTAATAATAATTATAATAGCATTATAATGTACGAGAATAAAAGAATAAAACATTTATTTACAACATTACAATCACGTAAGCAGAAATGTAGGAAACGTAAAAACGAATCCTGTCCTGAGTATCGTTTATAGAATTTTCTAGATAAACCTCCTGGCGACCGGCTAAAAGAGGTTTTTATGATCTCCACTGTTCCGGTGGTAGTTTGCAAAAACTATACCATATGATCGAAAAAAAAACATCGTTTGGTCAGCCGTGGAATTAATAAAAAATGTGTTGACCGAATCTCTAGTGTCACAGCTGTTCGTTTTTGGGGTTATGGAAAATTGTTCCCGAATTTCTATGTATCGCATTAAGTGGGATTTGCAAACTCGGTGTTGACGTTGAAGTTCCTGCTGACGTTGCTTTTAGAGCCGAAAATTGTTATTTATAAACTCCGTTGCCAAGTTGCCGTTGATAGTAAAGTGGGATTTACAAACTTGCTGTTGACGTTGAAGTTGCCGCTGCAGTTGCTGTTCCCGCTGACGTTGCTGCTACAGCTGAAAATTGTCATTTATAAACTCCGTTGGCAGTTGCCGTCCGCACAGGCCGCAGCTGTCAAATCCAATTGTGAGGTTACGTTTTCACGTCAACAATGCACAAACACCGACAGAAAGCTACAATGATGGCAGGTTTTTAAAATATCAGGGTTTCTGTGAACAGGTGCTTAGGTGGTTTAATATTAGTGGGCCTCATTATTTGATTTTGAAATTTGATTTTCGTGGAATTAGTGCTGTCAACCAGAAAAAGGTCCCGCCTACTTCAGGGAATTTTCTTTCAAGTTGACAGCACTGCACACCACCTCATTTTGATTGGTTGAAAACCCAACGTCAACGGCAACGTAACGGCGAAAGATAAAAGTTGGTCATCTCGAACGTCATCCCAACGGCGTGCCAACTTCCAACGGCAACGTCAACGGATGATATAAAAAACGCATACCTTTGCTGTATATTTATCTTCCAACGGAAACGTCAACGGCGAACAGCAACGTCAGCGTCAAGTTTATAAATCGACCTTAACTATGATGTTCAACTTTTGCCGTATTTAAAGGAGTTGCAGAAGAAAAGTGGAGTATTTAAGAGTCGCTACTTTTGGCTCGTATGGTGTTGTCAATATATTTTCAGAATGTAATATCTCCATTATTAACATATCCATGGTTATGAAATTTTAAATGTAACTTGTCCACAACTTTCACTACATATCACATTTTTTAAATTTTGTTGAAATTCTTGCATTGGGGTTGTCACCACTGTTTTCAGCTTGCAAAATTTTGGGTATTATTTGTTGGGACTGAGATATACCTTAGTAAAAATAAAAGTTAGCAACTTCTATGACACAAGCTTTTTTTACTGTGTATCGTTTCTAACAAAAAAAATCGACGATACATTTGGTACGATTTCTGGAGTTTTGTAAGCTGAAAACAGTGTTGAAAATCCTGTTTTGAAATTTCCTTCAATAATTGAGATATTGATTTTTAAAAATACGTTATGCAAAAATTTCTCTAAAATTAAAAGAAAAATATGATTGCAAACTGTTTTTAACAAAATTGCCCATGCGTGATATAAACAAAGTTATGGACAATATATATTTAAAATTTCAAAACCATAAGTCGAGAATTCCACTCAGGAAACGTCGCGACTGGCCTTAAGTTGATTATTACAAAAAATTACCATTTTAGGACATGTTTTTAAGTTTCTTGTTGTCGAAATAAGTCTACACATATTAAAAAAAAAAAAAATGTAGCCCCGCCCGCCCGCCCTATCTCAATTGTGATGATTTTTTTATTCGTCGTGAGCCAAGAAGGCGGAGCTTAACTGCAAAATCTTTATTCCTCTATGATAAATTAAAAACATGTTTTTGAGTATCGTGTTGTTCAAAGATTACTATGTACAATTAAAACCAAAGATCAAGCCCCACCCATACCTGCCCTGATCTAAATAGTAGTGAAGGTTTTATTCGTTGACAGACCTAAGGGCGGAGGCTAATTGTAAAATCCATATATTCTTGCAAAAATTTATCATTTTCAACGTGTTTCAAGTTTCTAAGAATAAAAAAATCATCACAATTGAAAGAGGGAGGGTGGGCGGGGTTTATATTTTGCCTTATTTTCTTAATAGTATTTTTTGAACACGATACTTAAAAACATGTTTTTAATTTCTTGTAAAGAAATAAGTATTTTGCAGTTAAGCGCCGCCCCATTGGTTCACGGTGCATAAAAAAATCATCACAATAGAGATGGGGCGGGTGGGCGGGCTTACATTTTGCCTTTTTGTGTTAATATGTGTAGACGTCTTTTCACAACAAGAAACTTAAAACATGGTCAAAATGGTACATTTTTGCAAGGAAATAAGGATTTTGCAATTATGAGGCGGAGCCTAATAGATGGCCATGTATATTAAGGGAAAAAAAAAGGCAAAATATAAGCCCCACCCACCTGCCCTATCTAAATTCTGATGATTTTTTTATTCGTCGTGAGCTTAATTGCAAACTCCTTATTTCTCTACAAGAAATAAATAAAAAACATGTTTTTGAGTATCACGTTGTACAAAGAATACGTTTAACAGAAAAACAAGCCAAAAATTAGGCCCCACCCACATCCATCTCAAGCTCAATTATTGTAATGAATTTTTCATTCGTTGTTAGACCGAGGGGCGGCGCCTAATTGCAAAATCGATACTTTCCTACAAAAAATTACCATTTTAAACATGTTTTACCTTTCTTGTTGTAAAAAGAAGTCTACACTAAACATATTAACAAAAAAGGGGCAAAATGTAAGCCCTTGTAGTTATAATACCTAATTTCTTTTTGAGACGAATAGCAATAAATCTTGTTGAGAACTATCTTTAACAATGCATAAGTACTGACAGAAGACCACAGTGTAGAAAATGATCGCACCTAGGCTTTCGGTGAACAGAAAGGGTGATTAAAGGGCTTAATATTAGTGGACCTCATTATCTCTATCAAAATTTCGACTTTCGTGGAATTAGTGTTGTCAACCAGAAAAATGACCCCCCTACTTTAGGGGATTTTCATTCAAGTTGGCAGCACTGCACACCACCGCAATTTGATTGGTTGAAAACTCAACGTCAACGGATGATTTATATCATCCGTTTATACGACGCACACCTTCGTTGCGTATTTTTACAACGACAACGTCAGCGGCAAGTTTATAAATCGACCTTAAGAGTAATAAATTTTCGAAAACAAAGACGTTTTAAAATAGCAACATTTTCTTTAATTTTAAAAATGGAGATCTCTTCATTATTGTAGTAGAATATTTTGTTTAAAAAAGTTGTTTCTTCATAAATAAAGTCTTCCAGCATTATGAAATGAGAGTTTTCAGTATTAGTGAATAAATGCTGCAGTATTCTATGTAATTTTTACACAGTAGTTCTCTTTCGGCATATTAGAATGAATGGACAAAAGTATTTTGAAAATACAATAGGCAAAGTTTTATGATAGTAACTACTACCATTCAAATCTCAGATACACTGTTTTCACATGAATGGATATCCTGAAGCAAAACAAAAACTTAATATACAGGGTGGGTCAGCTAAAAGGGACACCTTGAATAACTTTTTTATTTCTTAGTCAAAAGTAATGATATTAAATTTCCTGGAGAATAACAGCCCGCGTGCATACGTAGTTCACTGCTTTAAAAAAAGCAACGGAAAAAAGTATATTGCGAAAATATCATTCAACATTTTTTTTTCAGATTTTGCATTTTTTTATTTCAAAAAAAAGTAAAACGCACGTTATTAGCTTTACTATTTAATATTCGTAAATTATTGCAATTTAAAAAAAATATATTAATTTTCTAATTAACATTGTTCGCTAGTGCAACTTGACGTAAAATTGGTAAAATGTTGGATTGAATTGTTCAGAAAAGCGTGGTAAAATCACCACTTACGTAAAAACGTGTTTAGAAAGCAAAGCGCAGAAAACGCTTTAAAAAATATACTTCCCCACAAAATTAACGCATCATTCGTTGCATTTATTTGAAATATTTATTTAAACAATTGACAATGCAATGTTCGCACACAATAAATGTTTTTGCCTTTCATCAATTTTGTTTCCTATAATGCAAAAGTTCAAAAAATATAGGGGAATAATTTTCAAAGTGGTGCGGTAATTTTGTGGGGAAGTGTTTTATTTTACTAAAGCAACTAAACCGCATCAAAAGTAGTAAATATTGAACTTTGCAGGAAATTTTTTTTCTCTAGTTTTATAGTAAAATAAAAATTCAGATAAATTAAAAAAAATTGTGACGCCTTTTTTTTAATATTTTACATTAATGAAGTGATGCAAATGTAGAACTCAATAGTCTTTATGTATAAACAAAATTCCGTTAATTTACTTCATAAATAAAAAAGGTATTTGAGGTGTGCTCTTTCAGCTAACTCACTCTGTGCATGTAATAATAATAGTCATTTAGTTCGGAAGAGTTCTAGAATACATTTCTTTATTTCTTTATATCAGCTATTTCTAGCGGTTATATGAAATTTGTGACTCTTTCATAACTAACTGGGTTATCGTAAGGTGCAGTTACATAATTCCGCAACTCGCCCTTATTATCCAAATTTGGAAAGTTAAGACAAAGGTTTCTTTATTTTCATTAGTTTTTAAAAACAAATTTCATTGGCATTGCAAACGTGATGTAAATTTCGACATTAAGCAAAGAAAATGATAACAAGCGTAATGAATGTTTATCTAATCAAATTTTGTCTACGACTCTTAAATAATATATACAGACAAAGGCGGAGACAATACTTTGTGATAAACAAATGTCATTTATGCCAAGGTTTTCAGGAAATTTCCGTGTTATAAGCTACATTCAGGATGTGAATTTAACCACAATTCAATGTGGTAATTCTGTGAAATATACGCTAAACAATAGGATGTAGGCTCTAGGCTAAGCAATAATCAGGATACTTTGGCAAAATAAGATGGGTTTCTTAATCCCTGGTATTACCCTTTTGCTGCTGGAGTAGCTTTATATCGGAAAAAGATAGTCTAGAGTTATGATTGATTATCATAATATTTGAGGTCTAAATACTTAAGTAATAGGTTATGCCAGTTTTTATTCTCAAAAAAATCCCGCTGTATTTTTAGTTTATGAAAAGTTATCGAAACTAATCTGTGTTTAAAATTAATTAATTTGAATATGAGATCGTTTAATTTTTACTAAAAATGTTCTTAATATTAAATAAACTAATTAAATGGATAAATACTGCAAGTAATTAGAAATATTTTATTTTTATATAAATAGTTTTTCTAATAGTCTTGGATAAAACGTACTTGATTTACACATTGTAGGTATTACTCACTCAGATCAGTGAATGCAACATTCGCTTTTAATTCGTTTTAATATGCTCGTTAAATAATACTCTTATACGATTTTTCACGGAGAACAATTTTTTAGAAAATCAGATGATTTTGCAACATAAATCCGCACTAGGTTTCTATTTCCAATTTTAAGGCCAAAATAACTCTGTGGCGAGCTTTTAGTGTATATAGTGTTGAAATTTTTATTTTCCATAACTAAAAATTAGGATAAAAAACGATAAAACAACTACTTGTAAAAATCCATTTGAATTGTATTGGTAAAGTATTTACTAGAAACTAAAACTGCAAAAATCTAAAAATCTGTTTCGGTATCTCCACATAGAATTAATAGAATAGAAGTGTTGCTCCTGTGGCGTAAGTGAAGTGTTATGCATACGTTCCGAGCAATCAGGGACACCAAAGATATCCATTACCATTACATCCATGTTGTTGATACAAATCTTCTTTAACAAACCAGTAGTTAAAAAATTTTCCTTGCGTCGTTTACGCAGTGCAAAGTTAATTTTTTGATTATTTTGTAGGACGTGGATGGTGACGATGATGCTGACATAACTGGTGGTTGGGTTCATCCTGGAGAATACGCTTCATCAGGTAAAATAATAATGTATTGCATATGCTTTGTAGATTTTGCACTGAACTGATTTTGCTGTTTGCAATTGCTATGTTGTGTCCGTTCTATGTTTGTAAATATTACGAAGCTAAATGCACCTAGGAGGCTACGAGATAACGTTGATTTTCTTACATTCTACTAATACATTTTTTTGTTCCATTAACTTGCTATGACCAGTCAACGATAATTTTTATGGTAAGCTTTTTTCCTTAATAACTACTTTTAAACATACTGACATGCATGCGCAAGAGTTTTGTGTAAAATAAACAAGAAATGGAAAAAAGGTTGAGAGTGCGGAATCGTGGAATTTCTTAGTAATTTGGAAAATTGTGAATTAACTCTTTTAAAGTTTTAACGTTTGAACTTTTCTGGAAATTTCGCGTCTCCGAAACAAATAATAGAACGTAAAGATGAGATACTGATTAAATAATATTTAGGTATGGGAAAAGAAGTGGAAAATCTGATAATGGAAAACAACGAGCTACTAGCCACTAAGTAAGTGTAACATTTAACATCTTCTCTCTAGTGTTAACACTTCGTTAACAGAAACGCTCTGAATGTGGTGAAAGATGATCTCATAGTAAAAGTCGACGAGCTTACCGGCGAGATAGAAATGCTGCGAGAAGAAATCTTGTCTCTAAATATGTCTCGAACGAAACTGCGCGAACGCATTAGCGATCTAGAGGAAGAACTTCGAAAAGTGAAAGAAGCTAACGAAGCCAAACAAGAAGGAGCAGATGACGAATCCGACGTTCCCATGGCACAGAGAAAACGATTTACTAGGGTAGAAATGGCACGAGTCCTCATGGAGCGCAACCAATACAAAGTAAGTTCGCTTTATCGCTAAGTTAGCCTCTAATAATTTATGTAAAGGAGCGCTTTATGGAATTACAAGAAGCCGTCCGTTGGACCGAAATGATACGAGCGTCAAAAAACGATACGGCTTTTGACAAGAAGAGTAAACAGAGTATATGGAGATTTTTTAGTAACCTTTTTAGTGGATCTGAAAGACCCCAAAGAACATTGGTAGGCGCACATTTGCGATACCAAACCGCCACTAATCAAATAGCTCCGGGCGTGAGGGCGCTGCCGAGGCCTGGCCATGATTTCGTCGAAACCGAATTGGGTACGGAAGTGTGATTATTTTTACAAACTATTTGTACCTGCTGTCAATTTATCTGTGATATTATGTGCTAGTATGTAGACAATGTTAATTCGAGAAAGTATTTATGCAGGATAGTTTTGCTTCATAAATACACCATTCTATATGCTTTGTCGCGTTCTTGTTCGGTTTTTTAATCCAACGAAATTTCTTTTTGTTAAATGAGAAGTATCCAAGCTTGTAAATAATCCTTTCAGAATCTCTGTTTCTGTTATCTCTTACTTTTCTTTCATTGTTGATTCATTTCTACAAGAAAACATAGGCACTTTCCCAGTAGATTGCAAGTTTTTCTTCCATGCATGTGCTCAAAAAATATTTAAATTTCATGTGCACTGATAATATATAATATTTTTGAATATTTATTATTTTCGTGTTACCCCTGATTATTTTCGGAATGTGATTATTTTTAGTTTTGTAAAAATTTGAGAATCGTAGTGACGGTTTTATTATTATAGCGATTATTTTTGAGCACATGATACGCTGATGCTGTTTTACATTATTATTTCGAATGTATCATATTAAGTTATTTATTACTGGCTGAAATTAACATTTTCGAAAAATCAGCCGTGTTTGAGATTTTATTTTAAGTAAAAAGCCATCAATCGAGGTCTGATGCATGCCAATGTTTTGTTGGATTGATGTATGTGCATCATTTAACCTTATTTGTAGGTGGACTGAGGACTGTTACAATCGATTTTTGCGTTCATAATAATCCAAAGTTTGGTAACTAATCTAGTCTTAAACATTCATTCATGTTACCGGATGTTACTTTTGTTAAATCGTTCGTTTGAAATACATTTTAATAATTTTATTTAGTGTTTTATTTTCGATCTTTTCTTTTTTCCGCAAAATTTTATTCTAACGTTGGTTGCTATTTCCTTTATTTCCTGCATTCTTAGCGATTCCGTTGTAGTGCAAGTGTACATGTAAATGTGAATTATCGAGTATTGACAGTAGTTACGAATAGTAAGTACGACTTACAAGTGAGTTAATGTTACTGTGTCACAATATGTTGTAGGTTCCGAAAAGTTGTCGATGAGGAGGGCAGTCGAAAGGAGAGAGCAATATCGGCAAGTCAGGGCACATGTAAGGAAGGAGGATGGACGGCTGCAAGCTTACGGGTGGAGTTTGCCGGGAAAGGTGGGACCTGGGACAAAGGGCAGTCAGAGTAGTAGTGGTGTGCCCGTTCCTGTCCCTGTTTACTGCAGACCACTGGCGGAAACCACTCCGGGAATGAAAATTTGGTGTGCTGCTGGTGTCAATTTGATGGGAGGGTATACTAAAGATGGAGGTTTGATGGTAAGTCATGTAATTAAATGTTTATTTCGTGAGTAATTTGTGCTTGAATCCACTGTTTATTTTTTATTTGGGAAAAATAAGCACACAGTCACTGTGAAGCTACGGTATGAGGTAGAGTGAGTCTCAAAAATAACATTTTTCATGTATCTGAAATACCATAAAAAATTGAGACTGGAATTACACAAAATACCGTGTTTATAGAGTCTAAAAAAAGAACTTGCATGTAAATTTAAATGAACGCAATATTTTTTCCTTTGATTAATTTGTAGTATAATCTCAAAAGGAACAGTTGTAGAGAATTCAAAAAAGTTGTCAAACCACTTTTTCTTAATCTTTATTTTGTTCATTTAAAATTCAAAAAACATTTGTAACATATTTCTCTAATTTGTCTCCTCGTTGATATAAGATCTTATAATCCTGACCCGAATGACCTGTCTGCTTCCTAAAGTCGTATTATGTAACTGGTCTACATGCTTTTGGATCCTTTTTTCGAGAAGTTCTGCATATAATTTTCCAAGCACACTGATACGCAGTGCCTTGACACCACGGAGTATTCTATAAGCGTGCCGTATTTTTGTTGTTTCTGGTTCTAAAAATAATTATACATCTCAGGAGGAAACCAATAAAACAATTTTCTTTTTCCCAAAACAACCCGAAAGAACAAAAATGGTTAGTAGTTATTCTTCCATAATTTTATACCCACTAAATCTTCAGTGGTGTGTATTGACCATTTTGATGGACAGTGTAATGTGGGAAGACCAAAATTAACCACGCTGCCTATTCCACAGTTTTAAAAAATCAACATAAGTATATCTCAAAAAGCATTAGTAAAAAACTAAAGGCGCCAGAGGAAAGACACCAAGAAATAAATCAGAGACAGCAGGACCAGAAGAGGAACTAATTCTATTGGATAAAATTAAGATTTTAAACATAATTATAAAAATAAAAGTACCCAAAAGCTCTGCGATTTTGCAAACGGTAATCAAATTATTTTTTATAAACTAAATTGCAGTAACAAACCACAGATCTCATCTAGCCTGGCAGTGAAGGTTAATTTATACGAAGGTGAAGCTACTCACGATGATAAGTTAATAAATATTTTAGGCCGAGAGGTCAAACTTGATTCTTGGAATAAATTTGAAGAACTGTTACCATATTTTCAAAATTTTTTCACATGCTACACGATATTAGTGTTGAGTATTACGTCGAAACTGCTACTAATATTTTGAGTCAGGTTACACTATTAACATATTAATATCCAAAATAAAGTGAAATTCAGTTGATCAAATAAATTTAATGTTTTGTAAAGCACCTAGAGATTCAAGCGATTTATTTTTATGGGTAATAACATTTTATTAGAGTTTTCCAGGTGCATACAAATATTTTTGAGAAAAACCAATAACTCTACCAAAAGTTAAATATGAAATTGGGTACAGAAAATTCTGGTATAACTGCATTACATATTCATTACTTAAAACGCAAGTGAACAAATAAAGATAATAAAGAAAAATATGTGAATTTATTATATGATGAAGTATACATTAGACCTACAATTACATACAGCGTGTTATTGAAAGGTACGTACAAAGTAAAATCGGCAATGGGTCTCGAAGTATGAGTGCTAAAAGTAAAAAAAGTTCAGGTAAAGTTCAAATTCGTTGTACGTCTCTGATAAAAAGATCATTTTTCTATATCTATAGCAACATTTAGCTTGACAAAAGTTTTATTGTTACAGTTGCTAGGATTTACTAAAATAAATTAATTTTACCTAATTATCCTTCAGTAGCGTCTAAAAAGGTTGAAGAAGGGTTAATTTTCCCTTTATAAATTTGATAACACAAAATAAGTTTTTCAGACTTCTTAGACTTCGCGAATAACTGTTAATTTTGTTGTACGTACCTTTCAATAACATCCTGTATAAAGGAGGAGAAATTAAAGGTATGAGCAGTAAAAGTGATACAATTGCATCTACGGTACAAACTTTTATGATCAAATCGGTGTTGCGATATGGTCGGTTTGTTTCCTGCCAAAATTTAGAACCTGATTATTATTTAACAGAATTATTGATAAATGTAGTAGAGGTAGTCACAGAGGCAGGATACCATATACTGTGCATACAGTCTGACAATAATGCTGTTAACGGGAAAACTTTTGAGAAATTAGGTAAAAGTAGTCTTCAACCTTCTATACAACATCCAAGTTGCCTCAATGACAATCAAGAAGATTCAGAGCAGATATTTGTGTTTCCTGAATTCAATTATGAACATAATTTCGTTGATAGTGAAAAAGAATTAACACACTTCTGCGTTAATCATTTAAAAATTATTCAAAGAGAAGAAACAAATATTATCAAATATGCTCCGGCTTTAAGTATGTACTAACATTGAAAGGCGAAATGTCAAGCTTTGTGTCCGATGTTTTGATGGAAAAAATATTATTGCTTTACGAATTAAATACCTACAAAGAAGTGAGGGGAATATACAATTTTTGGATCCATACCGTATTCCTATTAAAAATATAAACGACAAAAACTTACTTTTTCCAAAAAAAAAAAAATGTCATTTAGCTTGACCACTGGGAAAATAGAGATTCAAGGAGAAAAGAAAAAAAGAAACATACCAAGCTTTACGTCATACCACATTAATTTTAATTTCATTATGCAATCATTTGCTTGTTACTCGAAATTTTGAACATGTTTTATTAGGAAAGTTTCAAACTGATCCTCTCGAAGCCCGTTCAGGGCAATACCGATTTATGTCAGGGCTAAATTAGTCTGCAACAATTTTAGAATCAGAGAAGGAAATAAAAATTCTTTCTTTATTATTTTTGAAAGAAAATGTCTGAAAAGATTGAGAAGAAACGACTAATTCGGATAGATTATATGCCGATGTTTCCATAAAATTTAAAGATGCTGTCATTGCATGTAAATCCGTAGAAGTAAGTTCCAGTGATAAATCTGTTATAACATGTATCGCTGAATATATTTCCAGAAAAGATGTTAATTGAACTTGTAGTTTATGCATACACTTTAATGTAAGTGAAAAGGATCTAAACTGGATAATTAATATTTCGCGGTATATGGGTAGAATTATTTACTTTAACAACCGGTACCAACAACAAAAATAAAATAGTAAAGAGAAAGTGTTCTTTTTATTTACAATAAAATAGTAGCACGTTCATTGGGGACGACATCCTAGAAATACAACTATTTATGTCTTCCTGCTAGTGGGTGCTGTACTTTCCATTAACGCTTTGTTAATTATCTAATGCAATGCCCATATCTCCGATTGTTTACTAAATATACAGGGTTATTTAGGAGAAGCGCCTAAAAAATTCAAGACGCAACCAGATATTCTATTCCAAAACCATTAATTTTCATACCATCAAAAAAATTAACGATACTTAACTCTTTTATTGTAATAATATTAAAATTGACATTTCGGCAAAATTGATGCACGGTATTGTTTATTCAAAAATTAAAAAATCATCACCTGTTGAATTAAGTTGGTATCAAATAAAACTCCTCTAGAGCTTATTTTTACACTGGTGAATTGGTAGTACAACAAACTTTCAATTTGAAATTTAAGTACAAAAATGTCAAAATAAAATAAATAAAAACAAAAGGTTTTTTAAATTTCGAACAGATTTTATGTTTAAATAGATTAGTTTTTCAAAGCTCCTGTTTTGAATTTGTTTGTTTTTAACCCAAAAATTGGCATTTATTTCCAAATTGTCAAAACCAAACAACTAAAGTCGGAGATAAAACTTAGCGAACAAGGAGTGTCATGTGTGTCTAAATTTTCAGGAAATATAATAAACATTAAGCTACACACAGACGTGTGTTTAGCAACAATTCAATGTGGTAAAAATTTACAAGAACACTATAGTGTCAGTTATACCTCAAGTGAATGTTCAAATTAACTCAATCAAAATATCTGCCACGTGTCATTCTAATTTTACACTTATATGTCGTGGTTAAAACTTCAAAATTTTGGTGGGCTACTGGTGCGAATCCACTTTGTCCATAAGTTTTGTCTACAACTCACCTGCTTTACTTAAAAAAAGGAGATAAATATCAATACTGGTATGAAATTATATTGTTGGTTGCGTTTTGAATTTTTTGGTCTTGAGACTTCTTGTGAATAATCCCTGCTGTTGGCTTGCTGTTCTCTCTGTGTATCACTATAGATTTGCCTACTTTTAAGTTTTTATCCACTTCTTCAAGTTCATATGTCTTGATTAGATATTCTTTTTCTCTCCATGTTGAGTTTCCTCATTTGTGAATATTTTTTGGAAATATCGTTTCCATCTTTTCATAGTAAGTAGTTTTTGTCTGTTAGCATTTTACCTTTTTTTTTTTATCCTTAATTTCTTGGAAAATATTGTTATTTTTGTTTCTTATATTTTTCATAACGTTAAAGAACTGTTTTTGGTTTTCTGTATAGGAATTTCCCAATTTTTCACAGGATATATTTTTTGCTTTTTTACTTCCCGAGCGTAAGCTAAGAGATATTGTAATTTGTTCTCTGCCTCGCTGTTCTCCGCCTGTATGTCTGTCTGTCAGTCTGTCGGTCTGTGTTGATTTTTATTACACACGTATTCTCCGAAACAACTGGATCATATCATCTGTGAGTAGATGGAAAAATTGAGAAATTATAAATTGAAAGAATTTAATGAAAATTAAATTGTATGTAAAAAAAATGTAATTCTAGATTCTATTATTTATCCATATAAAATTCACCTTCCGTTCTTCAGAGCCAATAAGAATGAATGATCAAAATAGAAATTTAGAAATCAATTCCCATTTTATAGTAAATAAAATAAGTCAGTGAAATAGAGTGAGCTTAGTTTTTTTTTAAGGAGTTATAAGCAAGCAGTAGCCCCGCCCACCTACCCCCTCTTCATTCCAGTGACTACTCTTAATATTGTTCAGTCTTATCATAGCAAGTACTAGCCCCGCCGACCCGCTCTCTATTTTTTTTTTTTTAGAGGGTAGGTCATTCGCTAAAATCAGTCTTGTCTCAGCAAGTTCTGACAAAAAAATTAAAAACTGAAAAGTTGCAAATCGAAAACTGGAAAAAATGAAAAACTGAAAAATTAAAAATTGAAAACTCGTGAAAATGTTGCAAAATCTAAAAATTGAAACAATTTAGTAAAAATTAAATTGTATTAAAAAAAAAGGAATATTAGATACTATTATTTATCAATATAAAATCTAACTTCCTTTCTTCAGAACCAATAAGAATGAATGATCAAAACGGAATAGGGGTGGGTGGGGAGGGCTACTTTTTACTCAGTTTTAATCTTAGATTCTACAACTTGTCAAAATAAATCAGTGAAATAGAGAAAAGAAGAGGGCGGGGCTGTGTTTAGCTTTTTTTCTAAAGAATCTTATAAGCAACGGGCGGAATAATATCTCAGACGCTCTTACCAGTGCTGCCGCGTCGATACTTTGATTACAAATATATTTTTCTTTTGGACTATATCAACATAATATAACATTTCAAGATCACAAATCTGTAGTCCTGTGGTTGAAAAATTAATATTACGAGTATTATTATTTGAAGTAATATAGTAATATAGAAGTAGTTTTTTTACTAGCTGTAGACACTCCTAGAGACGCACTGGCTACGACCTTCTGGACCAGATCAAAGAGTCCCCGCTACTTACCGTAAAACACACTTTACTTCAACTGGGGAATTGCAGCCGCAAGATAAATTTCCGCGCACTGCTTATAAGCAAGCACTAGCCCCGCTCACCAACCCCTTCTTCATTTCAATGACTACTCTTAATATTGTTCAGTCTTGTCTTAGCAGGACTAATCCCGCCCTCCACCCTATATTTTCTTAGAGAGTATGTCTTTTGCCAAAATTAGTCTTATCTTAGAAAGTAGATACTGACAAAAAAAATGAAAAATTTAAAAATTAAAAATTGAAATCTCATGAAATTGGTGATCCAAAAATTGCTAAATTTAAAAATTGAAACAATTCAGTGAAAATTAAATTGGATTTAAAAAAAATGTAGTTCTAGATTCTATTATTTATCAATATAAAATCCAACTTCCGTTTTTCAGTGCCAATAAGAATGAATGATCAAAACGGAATAGGGGTGGGTGGGCGGGGCCACTTGTTATACTTTGTTTTATCAAATCTTAAACCTCGTTCACATGCATTTAGCATACGTAACATGACAAAAAGACATAACATAGAAAGCGTAGCACCAAACCTATCCGTTCACAATGCTTTGAAATTCACGTAAATTTATATTTTTGACATGCGCGTTTCTCTTTTCGTATCGTGTTTATATTACAACTGTCAACTGTGGTCAAACTTGAGACTAGAAGTTATAATTGTGTTGTATCCGTTGATACTTGACTCCGTCATCCATTCTGCTTCTTCTGGATTAAAATGAGTTTAGAACTTATCTAGGTTACAAATAGAAATACACCGCGTACCATCGTACAACCGAAGAGGGGTCGAACGAACGCTAATTGGTTGTGCATAGGAAACATGGCATAAGAATACGCTAAAGTTGAAGTTCGGTCAACTTTTCTGTACGCCATGTTATGTCTTCTATGTTTTTGCTCAATGTGAACAGATACGTAAGATTCAATGTTTTTGAACTTTTTGTACTTAATGTATTTTATGTCATGTTACGTATGCTAAGTGGATGTGAACGAGCTTTTAGATTCTACAACTTGTCAAAATAAATCAGTGAAATAGAGAAAAGAGGTGGGCGCGTCTGAGTTTAGCTTTTTTCAATGACTACTCTTTAATTGATTAGTCCTCTCCTCTGTTTTAAGGAGACAAAATCAATCAAATTTCATTTTCTTGCATGTGGCGGCTGATTGCAATGAGAAGCTGCATATAGTCGATTTTTTTCGAAGTATAAACATAAACACGTGAAGTTAAGAGGACATTTTTCCAGTTGGTTGTCTGGTTTAAATAACTATTATATCGTCCGTACTTGTGCAGACCGCGCCCCCTTACAAACAATTTGCGCCCCCGCGGTGCTGGGGCTGCGGGCGTGTTATTTATGCCATTGGTTTTTATTTTATAGAGATTATCACAAAACAAAAATCCCAAAATCAAGTTTTATATTTTTTCAAACAAGCGAGATTTGTTGGACTGAGACTTCAGGGCCGAGGGAAATTCTATCGAAATAAACTTCAAGCAATTTTTATTTCTATAGAAACGTTTCTTCTTATTTTCTTGTATACTTCGTAATTAACATCACTTCTTGCGTGACCAAGTATTTCTTTTATTTTCTTTTCTGCTCTTTTGCTATGCTTTTAATATCTTCGCTCCACCATTCAGTCCTTTTAACTTTGTTTTTGGGGTTTTTGTTGTCGCATTGTTAAATACCTCTCAAATTCTCAATCAATCTGTTTTTGTTGACTGCATATTATCTAAATGAGAGGTTTTTTTTTTTAGATCCTTTTGGTGTTCAATTCCTGTTCCTATATTCTTCAATTTATAACTTTTCATTTTTTCTCTTTCGTTTCTTTTCGTTTCCGTAGAAGTCGGCTTTCTTTTTTTTGTTGATAATTTTCTTTTTCACAAATAATGATCACTTCAAATTTCGTGACGGCAATATACTCTTACATCTTTTAATTTGCCGTATATCTGTTTGCCTACAAGAAAGTAGTTCATGATCGATAGTTTTTTCCATTTCTCTCCCGTGGTATTTTGTGTATGTTCATAATCATAAGAACATAAACATAAGCTTGAATTTCGTATTTATTATAACTAGTTGTTGTTCATTCAATATAATTCTACAATTCTTTTGTTATTCCCATTTTAAGTCATCTTTCCTTCATTTCCCAAATATTCTTCTAGTCCTTCATTATTTTACCCACGTTCCAGTCTAGACAAAAGAGCCAATAAAAAATCTGAATAACTTAAATGTATCGTCTTACCTGTTACAAACTTATATTTTACATCCATAGAACCATTATGTTGAAAAGTCGTTGAAAATTATTGGAACTGAGTTTTGAGAGAGTCTTTAAGACAATCTTTAGGCACCTTTTTTACATTGTGAGACATGTTTTATTCCTGAGCCTAAAATAAGGAAGTATGGTAAGCGTGTCTATTGGGCGACTGGCTGCTTTCATATTTTCTTGATTAGTCATGACCCCTAGAGTACGAAAAAAATGGGTCTCCCATTTCTGTCATCGGTTCGTTTAATTTGGTAGTTCACCACACTGGAATGTTTTAAATCCAAAAATTTTGTGATGTTTAAAAATGGAGTTTAGCTTTGCACAGCAGTATTAATAATGATTCTCTTGGTGTGCTTATCAGTGTATAAAATTTGTCAAAATGTTATTAATTCAGTATTGATAGCATCAAAGTAAAAATGATGGTAACCATCTTGTTAGAAACCGTATATTTTATTTTAGGTGGGTGGTAGTGTATTCTACTCTGAAGAACCTAAACTAGAGCCACCAGTGCAAAGTGAAGTTGACAGTTTAGACCAAGAGTTAAACGCAAGTCGGGAAGGTGCACTTTTAGAAACAAGGTTGTCTTCGATGGTATGGATTTGCACATATACTCACGCCGCCAGTATAGTTACTGTAATAGACGCTAATAATCCAGCTGATATATTGAATAGTTTTGGAGTATGTGCAAATCATGTACTATGCATTGCGAGTGTTCCTGGTGCTAGTCCAAGTGATTATAGAAACAAGTTTAGCAAAATTTCGGTTAGTGAGACTGTCAAAGACAGCGATAACGTGGAAAATAACGAGAACGATAATACTAGTCCTCCCTCTGAAAATACCAAACAGAATGATAAAAATCATGAAGAAGTAGAGGAAGCAGCTTTGGTATACGAGCAAATGATGGTTTTCTGTAACTGATAGTGTTTTTTCAGATCGGTAAGATTACTTTTATTGAAAACGATCAGACCGTTGTCAACAAAAAAGACAAATATATGAAAATCATTAAGTCTGAAGAAGAAAATAAAGAAACTACTAAATTGTCAGAAGAAAAAGAAGAGAAAAAAGGAACTCCCTGTGATACGCCCCTGGAGGCGAGTGATGAATCTAACCTTGATAAGGAATCAGAAGCAACTACCACAGAAAGTGAACCTGAAGGGATACCAGAACCAGTAGAAAACAAATCTAGCAATCAAGAAGTTATGTCGAGTGTGTTGGCAACAATGTGGTTGGGTGCAGAAAATGGTATGATCTATGTCCACTCTTCAGTTGCCAATTGGAACCAGTGCTTACACTCTGTCAAATTGAAAGATGCCGTAATAAGCATAGTGTAAATAATTGAGTATCGTTTATTTCATACACGCTGAAATTTATTTTCAGGCATATTAACGGTAGAGTTGTGTGCGCTTTAGCGTGTGGAACCCTTGCCATTTTTGCCAGAAACGATGATGGCGAATGGGATCTGTCTCGCTATCATTTAGTACAGGTAGGTTTGCCGCATCAGTCCGTAAGATGTTTAGCTGTCGTCGGTGATAAAGTGTGGTGTGGCTATAGAAATAAAATACACGTACTAGAACCTCAAGAACTTAAAGTTATTCATTCGCTGGAAGCTCATCCACGACGCGAAAGTCCAGTAAGTAATTTGGAATTATTTAATAGATGTGGTATAAGATGTTTTTTAAAGGTTAGACAAATCGCGTGGTTGGGCGAAGGTGTTTGGGTGTCAATAAGGTTGGACTCAACTTTAAGACTGTACCATGCTCACACGTACCAGCATTTACAAGATGTCGACATTGAACCGTACGTTAGTAAAATGTTAGGTAAGTTATATTTGTAGATGTTTCTTTGATCTTAGTGCAAATATTGCTTGCTTTGGTAAAACGGAATCGAGTTTTCGTAAGAGTTTGTAACGAATTTAATTTCCGGAAAACACAAGATACGAAGGGGAACAAACACAAAAAAATTATCTATATTGGATTTGTATGGGAGAATTCCCAGTCATCAAAAACATTCCACTTTTTTATAAAATTATTTTTGCAAAGAGAAAATAATTGTCATTAATCATTTCGAATAAAGCATATAAATAATGCTGCATTTGTACAACGTTGGTTGAAATTCGCTTGACTTCAAAAATTCTTAATTAAAAGAAAAGACTTGTTATAGTGTTTACCTAAATTTTTCAGAAAATAATTGCAGACTATTAACTACAAAATACGTTTTGTGCAAGTAACAAAGAAAGTTTTTTTTTTTTAAGAAGGAGCAATAAACAGTTACATTGTTGTCATCAATACTGTTCATACAGGGTTTCTAAAAAGTATGGAAGCAGTTGAATATTTCGGGAACAGTTAGCTGGATCTTTTTGACATTTGGACTATACTTAAAAATACTCAAGCTCTATTTTCTGTAATTTTTTTAAATTTTAAACTGCATTTGATTTCAAGATGCAAGGTTAACTTGATTTTTTAAAAATACACCACTAGTCAAATCGTCAATTTTTGTATAGATTCACCTCACTCAACTTGACCTACACAAATTTGTACAGTCGTTTAAGAGTTAAACTTGTTTTTTGACAAAGATAAACATATTTTTACTCTGTAGATATATGTAGAATAAATTTAAGAAATTAGTAATAATTATGAAGATAAATTAAAAAATACAACACACTTTAATACTAAAGCTAATAATAATAATGGTATCAACAATAGAAAAAATACGCTCATTTAAATTAATTGTTCAAATAGTTTCCGTTGAAATTAATGTACTGTAGGATTCTTTGCTCTATTTATTAAAATAATACTCTACGTACATTTTTGGTTCGAATGAGTGAGCTCCAAAATGAACACTGTAGAATGTATATTGAAATTTAGAAATGTTTAAAAGTCTGTATGGTGACGATAAACAAAGTAAACAATGTTCACATGAATTTTATAATATTATTTTATACAATACATATTTAAGAGCAATTTTTCTGCGACTATATATACAGTTCAGTTTAAAAAAACATACTGTCTATAAAAAACTAAACGTAATTTTTATCATTCATCCGAATCGAGTAAAAAAATAAGCAACACACACAGTGAAAAGTTTTTCTATCAGTCACCCTGTATACATTTTACCATTATTATCGTGAAGGTGATTCGAGTAAATTTGTCTGTGCCTTTACCTCTCTGGTTTAATACTACATCCAAATTTTTAACTAAACGCATACGTTTTGTCCCAAAAATAATTAAGTTTATGAAATCACATTTTAAATTTTCTAGAGGTCTTTTATTTTGTTTTTGAAAGAATTTTTAAAAATTTAGGGGATCCCTGGTGTTTTTTAATTTCTGAAAAACTTTGGAACTGCTTGTGTTTTAGTTTTAATTGTAAAAGAATTTTTCGAACTTTTTTTGTTTTGTGTTTGAAAGAATTTGAAAAAAATCTTGGGGACCACTTGTGCATTTTTTTTAAAGAATTTAAAAAAAGTCAAAGGGATTCCTTTGTTAAATAACTGTGGACAACGGCAAAAATAATTTACAGAAAATTTTAAAACGGATTTTATTTGAATAGGAAAAATTGCTGGCTAATGAAGAATTTTATGCAAATTAACAATTAACAAGTAATTTTCGCACAAGATCTCCAAATAACGGCGAAAAACGGTAAAATAATGTGATAAACCAAACATCCCGCCTTAAATTGACATGTAAAAAAAATTTGAAAGGTTGCGAAAAATTCAGAAGTTCAAAATTTGGCCTTGGCTGTGATCGTCTAACAAAATGAAACCCTAAAAATGGCGGAATGCGTTCAGATGCAAATGGTGGACCCCAAGGTTGGAAATTACCGCTAAATAAAACACAAAATATATGGAGGACACAAAATTATTTATTTCTCCACTGATAAAAAAAAGAAGAAGAAAAAAGGTGCGAAAGTTGTGCCCGTTGAAGACACCGCTTAATGCTCAGCTACAAAAAAACTTTGAATGACTTGGAATGAAATCAAATTAAACGTTCTGAATCAATGCAAATATTTGAATGTCACAAATTTAATCAAAACAAAGGAAAATCGGAATTAAAGTAACTGGATGCAAATACACAAGTTTACAGACGTGTGGCGGCAAATTTAAAATTATGGCAGTCAACAAGAGCACAAAATTTTATTAAAAAAACTATGCAGCGGCAGCAGCACCAGAGCGCTATAAGAGTGTGGCGATCGAACTATGTCGATTTCGGTCTAGAACACAACAAAAATACCCATAGGGACGTTGTAGCACGAGCGGAGTTTGGGGCTCCTGGTCGTGGCTGTTCTCCTACCCACGACGGTGATTCTATCTATCGCAAGCACTGCCGCACAGCACTGCTCTATTACGGACATGCCGTACAAGCAGGCTGTTACGGTCGCAAACTCGTGGTTGGGTTTCGACTATTGAGCTAAGTCGACAGCGTCACGTCATCTCGACCGCCCCTGACTTCTATACAAAGCCTGCATCCTTTGTGCAGATGGCGCGATAAATCCCGCCAGCTTTTCTAGGAACCGCGCCATCCGCTTCTGCCACGTATTTCGATGTTATCTAACCTCAATTCCGTCTAAATGTTCAATTTCCATGACTCTGATATTAACGACAACTGAACAAGTGTTACAAGTTTCAAAAAAGAGCAATAAACAACATTTAAATTCGCTATACACTCTTGCGAAGCAAAGAATTCTTATCTGAGGTTAAGATTGCACAGCAGACAATTTTATGATGGAAGCATTAATCAACAAAATATTTACAAAATAAAAAACTAGCAAAAATTTATAAAAACAAAAGGTCTGCTGTGAAATAAAACTTGTGCCGATAAAAAGTTACGTGAGATTTGGAACTGCAGATCATGAAAGTTTAGGTTCGATTTAAATTATACAACAAAGACAATTACTAAAGTTAAAATTGTGAGATAGAGAAAAATTGTGTGAGGTGAAAATTTGCAAAGCTAACAAAATTACGTTTTGTTTTATTGCCACACTTTATCAACGATTCAAACAAGGAATTTATATGATGTTAAATTATGCCATAATCCAAGTGATTAGTTACTTAAAACAATTAGCTTTGAGAGTTTATATCGTGAGCAACACAACACATGTATCCGGCGTTGCGAGGAAAACTCCTCGGTGATGTAATTATCCACGTTGCGACATAATATGTCTCGGTGATATTTCTGTCTTCTTCCACAGTGAGGCAACGTTAGGTTAATTTAACTGCCGTAAATGAATTAGCAATCTTGTGTGAAGAATTAAAAAGTGTTATAATGTAACACTTAAGTATAAGCATCCAGAAACCTTATTCATAATTAGCCATACAAAATCTAGTTCTGACTAAGTGAATTTCATAAAAACTCCTGTGAGTGTTTATCTAAACAAATTCCTGTTTGTTAAATTGTGTTAGAACTAGTTAACGATTAAACTCCTAACACGAACTGTGATTTTACAAACAATAAAACAAATTTATACGTGTTGACGTCGGTCGAAAATTTACTTATTTCCGATTGAAGAAAACCGCAAGAATTAGCTACGCATGTTGGGGAAACTGCGGCGTCGTCGTCGTAATGATTAATTTTCATTAAACAAAGGCTTTCTCCTTTTTATTAACAACCAAGCCAACTAAACTTAACCTAGCTAACTCATCACGTGGTTTTCACTCACAACATCTCTCTTCTCTACCAAGCCGCCATCTTCTCTCACTACCAGCCCTCTAACTAACATTCCACGCAGAACTACCAACACCAGGAAAAGAACTAAACGTGCACATGGTTGCCTATGTTTAACGTTTTTTCTTGATTGAATTTTTTTCAAATTCAAATTATTCAAATATGGTCACCACAATAATTTAATTATTCAGTCTTGTCTTGCCCTTCAGTACTAGCCCCGCCCACCCACCATCTCTTTTCTTAGAGGGTATGTCATTCGCCAAAATCAGCCTTATCTTAGCAAGTACTAGCCCCTCCCACCCACCCTCTTTTCTTAAAGGATATGTCATTTACCAAAATCAGTCTTAGCACTTGCCAAGATAAGACTAATTTTGACAAATGACATACTCTCTAAGAAAATAGGGGGAGGGGGGGGGGACTAGCACCTGCTAAGATAAGACTGATTTTGGCAAATTACGTCCTCTAATAAAATAGAGGTCGGGTGGGCGGGGCTAATATTTGCTAAGATAAGACTGGACCAATATAAGAGAAGTCACTGGAATGAAGATGCGTGGGCGGGGCTACTGCTTGCTCATAAAAATGTAGAAAAAAGATAAACTCCGCCCTGCGCACCTCCTTTCTCCATATCACTGATTATCTAATGGTTTGGCAGAAAATATTAATATTATTTATTTTCTCCATCAGAAATTGATAACAAAAACTCATAACATATAATATAAGATGATAATAATAATAATACTAAGTACAAATTTGCGTCGACATGAATGCTGTATTTTTGAGATTATTTTTATGTGCAACTTTCGTTTCTTATTTGCACATCGTGTATCTATTTATTTTTACTTTTTTCTAATGCGCTTTCTCTCTTTGTAAATTTTTAGAATCACAATCGTTCTTAAAACTAATGTTTTATATTCCTTCATTTTACAAATTATTGTAGTGTTGAAATAAGCTAGAAGTAACTTATTTCCTAGCTCCAAAAAAACTGTCCAGCTTTCAAAAATAAAATGAAATGCCAAATCGACACAATAATTTGAACAAAGCAAAGGAAAAAAGAGAGATTATCATTAAAGTAGCTGAATGGTAATACACAAGTTATTACGATGGTGTGGCAAATTTAAATATGAACAAACATAACAGGCACATACTAATACGATCAGAATCAAAATAAGGTGGTTTAGGAAGACCCTGGACGTATTTCGAGACCACCGAATGTTCAAATTCATGCTATACGAAATTAAACATGTAAGAAAATCGCAAAGGCCCCATCCACGATGATATTCATTTTACTGATGATAATTTTCAAGGTCCTTTCCCCGAAAGTCATAAATAAATTATTATAAAAAAACATTTAGAAATTTCCTAAAGCAAGTTGAGCCTGGATAAGTGAATTTTCTACCAAGTGTTTTACGGGAATATTTCCATTATTGTAGTTAATTGTAATATTAAAATCATGAACGGTTAAAAATCTTATCATGAACTGTAAATTTACAACTAATAAAACAAAAATAACATGTGTTGACGAATTTGTCAAAGTTTCACATTTCACGTGAGAAAATCGCTAATTAGTTGATCTTACACTAATTCCACTCGTTGAGGACAGGAAGTGAGTGAGTGGAGAGTAGTTTTTAAAACATCCCGCCTAAAAGTTCGAAAAATGTGGATACAGTAGTCCATAAATAAAGGGCCATGTCGCACGAAAATTTTGAAAAGACGTCATCAAGTTTTTGGAAGGGATAAATAGGTAACTAAAGGTTCTCGATTAATTACGTTTATAGTAACCTTAAAGGGTGTGACAAATTTCGTGGTTTCTAAATTAAATTGTAAGATTTTTATTTTTTTTTTCAAAAAATAACGAGCATGCACAAGTCCAAAGTTGTGCAAACTATACCCCTACAATTGAGTTTTTAATTGTTACGCCGTGATTACACTTGGAAGAAGTTAATAAAGATTTCTCTTTTGTGGAAAAAACTAAAGAAAATGATTACAGGGACTGGAAAATTGGGATTTTCATTTGTGCGAATAACCTGCCTCCTGATATCATCCAACAGACTATGGATTGGTACAAGTAACGGTGTCATTATATCCGTCCCTTTAAGTGAAAGCGGGGGATCAGTCGGAAGTATCGTTCCTAGGGGATCAAACAGCTTGCCTGGAGCAGGAGTCCGTATACCTCCTGTTCCGGGAAGCTTTATTCCCTATTGCACTATGGCTCACGCTCAGCTCAGTTTCCACGGACATAGAGATAACGTAAAATTCTTTGTTGCGGTACCAGGGAATGGAGGTAAGTTTTATTTTACTAGTTGTGGATGAAAATATTTGACAAAATTGAAGGAATGAGCGCCGCATCCACTCCTTCAGAAGCATTATCCACTTCAGCTGTGACGATTGGCTTACCACCAAAACAACCATCAGCTATGTTGGTAATGTCAGGTGGAGAAGGCTACATTGATTTTCGAATTGGTAAGTTCTCTAGGTAAAATGTTCATTATGCACTGGGACACTAGTAGCTAAAAGCTAAAACAACGGATTCCTAGGAATATTATGTGTGAAATGTGGGTGGCAGCTTACTAGATTTAATTTTACTAAGTACTAACCAATGTATATAAGTACCAATAATTTCTTTTAGAGAAATTATTTGACCAAACAAAATTTGCAGAGGACGATAATGAACCACGAGATGGGGCCTCACATCTTCTAGTATGGCAAGTTTTGCCTGATATTCCTGGGAATCCTGTTGGGTATGTTACCAGAAGTTTTTTTTCTTTCGTTGATTGTAATTTTGTGTAGATTACCTGACTAAGTCAAGACATTTTTATTAGGTGATGAAATGGAAGACAGTGTTATTAATAACGAAACCAGTGATTTAGAAGCAGCTCAGGGCGAATCCAAAGGTGAAAAAAGTCATTTGATTGTTTGGCAAGTGTCCACTAGCTAATTTTAAGAAGAAACAATATTTAACATATTTAAAAGAATGTAACATTTTTAATTAGTTTCATATAGCTACATTAGCTTGTAGGTTCGTTTATAAACTAACAAAATGACATTTTAAAGTAGTTTACTCATTATTGTCAGCTTGTGAATATGTTATCGATTGATTATATATATTCTTGTTAAATTCTTTTGTTAATGTAACATATTTGTGTATAAATTATTTATATTTATTTGTAAATTTTAACATATGTATGCTAGCAAATTTTATTTATAAATAAATCATATGTGCTTGAACTTCCTATCACTTACTTACCTTGAAATCTTGCGACTGCTACTAAAATTCATTATACAGAGCGATATTAATTCACAATTTATTAACTTGAGAACAAGTGTTAACATAGCGTTGACTATTTTACTTTGTAACAAAAATAAAAAACATTAAAGTTATTAAAGGCATTCCTCGCGCTTCCACCATTTTCTTGAAAAAATGGGCAATATGTTTATAAATGTTGAGGTTACGTTAATGTTCTTTTGATGCCATATGTCGTAATAAATTATTGATAAATTTGTCTATTTTCCTTACATCTTGGGCTATTTCTGTCTTAAATTGTAAACACTGAAAAATAAATGATTTATACACAAAGCCATTCATAATTTACCAAATTCTTACCACTACATCGTCAGTCATTTTTAAAACTAAAACATTTTTTGAATGCACGTACTTCATTGTATACCGTGCCTTGGATGGCGCTTGCAAATACAGTTTTTCGGCAGCTTTTTCAAATTCTTCCCAAGATTTTAAATAAGTCATTTCAATTCAAATTAACTTAACCATATCAAAAATATGTCTATTTTAGAAAAATCGGGGTGGAATGTAGAGGTGGAAGCAGTAAACGTCAATCCACATGTCACAATCAGTTTAGCCAAACCAAAACATATAGAAAACCCTACTTCAGGGTCAAACACTAAATTCCCCCAAATGTTCCAAAATTCAGCAATTTTTTGTTTGCCGACCCCTCGTGGTGTTGTGTTGTCAGGTAAACGAACAGCTTCTCCTGGGTGAATAACCAAAGAAGCAGATCATTTAAAATCATTGTTGTTCAACAATGTGTTAGGCATCTTTTAAATACTAGAGACGATTCCGACCTCTTTGAAAATGGTTGTATTTACGTGTAATCATTGCGGCGAAAGTTTGCAAAAACCACGTGTTGAGAAACATTACGTTGTTCAGTGTAGAAGACCTAAATCTTTGACTTGTGTCGACTGTTTTAAAGATTTCAAGTAAGTTACTCTGAATACATGAAATACATTGGTATATAATAGGCTGTCATAGAAATGAAGAGTATACTGTGCACACCAAATGTGTTACCGAAGAAGAAAGATATTCTGCTAAGGGATCTATTCCAGGAGGAATTGTAAAAAAGGGAGAAGTGAAACAAGAATCCTGGACTGAAATGATTCGATCAATTGTTCAAACCGAGCAAAGTATGCAGGCATCTTTAAAAAACCTTTTTAACACAATATCGAATTACTCTAATGTCCCTAGAAAAAAAGTCAAGTTTATTGTAAGTACATTTGCAAAATATATTTGTTTATACTTACACATTGTTTTCAGAATTTTATAAAAAGTTCTACGGGCGGCCGATCCAATTTTAGCGATATTGAAGCCGCTTGGGATTTAATAGAAAAATACAAAAGTGAACAGAAAAAAAATAATAGTGTGCAAAATGAACAAAACGGAGCAGAGAATAAAATTGAAGATGATGAAGAGGTGCCAAAGAAGAAAAAGAAAAAAGTAAAAGAAGAACCCCAATTGGTAACTGATATAAATGAGGAGACTGTAGAAAATGGAACTAAACATGAAAGTGACAATAATGGGGAGGTGCCAAAAAAGAAAAAGAAAAAAGTAAAAGAGGAACCCCAATTGCTAACTGAAATAAAGGAGGAAACTAAGGAAAATGGAACAAAACATGAAAGTGAGAATAATGAAGAGGTGCCAATGAAGAAAAAGAAAAAAGTAAAAGAAGAATCCCAATTGGTAACTGATATAAAGGAGGACACTGTAGAAAATGGAACTAAACACGAAAGTGACAATAATGGAGAGGTGCCAAAGAAGAAAAAGAAAAAAGTAAAAGAAGAACCCCAATTGGTAACTGAAATAAAGGAGGAAATTAAGGAAAATGGAACAAAACATGAAAGTGAGAATAATGGAGAGGTGCCGAAGAAAAAAAAGAAAAAAGTAAAAGAGGAACCCCAATTGGTAACTGAAATAATGGAGGAAACTAAGGAAAATGGAACAAAACATGAAAATGAGAATAATGAAGAGGTGCAAATGAAGAAAAGGAAAAAAGCAAAACAGGAACCCCACAATTGTACTAAAATAACGACAGCAGTTACAGAAAATGGAGTAGAACATAAAACCGACGATGATTATGTACCAGAAAAGAAAAAGAAAAAACTTACAGAGGAACCCCAAGTGGAAACTGAGGTAAAGGCTGAATCTAAATTCAGTTTCAAAGAAATAATTTTGAACATTTTAAACTCAAAAGGAAATATTTCCACAAAGAAATTGCAGAAAAAAGTTTTAGCGATTTATTTAAAGGAAATGGGAATTTCTGAAAACACAGAAAAAATAATTAAGAAATACAATCAAAAATTAAAGAAATTGCCAAATGTGATGATACAAGATGATATTGTTTCTTTAGTTGCAAATTCTGAGCAGCAATAAATACATATTTTAAAAAAATATATTTATTTTGTACATTATTAAATCATGTTTGTCCTTAAATAATCGTCTTCAGGCACTAGATGAGTGTTTAAGAACTCTTCCACCGAATCGGTGTTCCATTTTTCAATTGCAACAGTTTCTTGCAAAGTACCATCTTTGTCGTACAGTTTAATTATAGGGTCAAGTCCCCTAACATATTTTATTTGAAGATTGGGAAATTGTAGAGGACGGTGGCTTTTAATGAATGCTTGAATTTGTGGATATGCTCCAAATTTACAAGTACAAACTTCCAAAACGGCTCGTGCATATTTCTTTTCGGTTGTGATTGATTCATCTTGATGGCAACACTCCTTGCAGTGTTCCCTTAAATTTTATAAATTAATAATTCACATGGACGGAGAATGCATTCACTTACTTTATTACATCTAAATTGAACCTGCTAAGTTGATCACAAGAAGAACATAATAAATTTGCCTTATTAAAGCCTAAGGCCCAGCAGTCTTCAGTGGTAAATTCCGTAAATGAATGTTCCTAAAATATCAAGCGATTATTAAAATTACAAATACTTTAATATCTAACGCATTGTCCTTACTATATGTAGTATAAAAAGTACGAAAATCGCGAGTTTCATCATAACTAATGTGTTTATTACTCTCGTTTTAGGTTTTACTGTATTCGTTCTACGTGTTCATAAAATTTTCAACTAAATGACATAACCTCACACTGACGAAGTTTTTCTTTGATTTAGGGATTTAATAAATCTAATGTCATTTACGCGGGAACTTTTAATAAAGTTCAGGGACGGACTTATACGCTTTGTGGCTTATGCTCGGTAACTATAAAAAAACTGATATGAAGTTGTTTAGGAATTTCCCTCGCTCGTGAAGTATAGTCAAAAAAATTGAGTTTTTTTGAAAAATTATCATATTTAAATCTTGCGAAGTTTTTTTGTGATAACACCTGTAAGTTGTGGCACTTGTGGGATACTTACATATCGGCTGTTTATTTGAAAAAGTCATTAAATTAGCCTTGATTTTTTTGTTAACATTATTGTGAAGTAGGCATTTCTACAATAAATAAACTTAAAATTTAATCATTGACACAATAACACTATGGATTAATAAAATATATGCGTTTTTCGGTACGTTTTCTTTTATCAAAACAGCAGGGCCAAGTTGATGATTTTTTTCAAATGAACATCGGTTATGTGTTGATTGTTGTAGAAAAAACAAGCACGCTATGCGTATGTTTCGATAGAGTTTTTCATAATTTTTAAACTGTAAAATGTTAAACAATTTTGTTTTTTTTAAATCTATTTCTCAAAGATAAAAAAATCAAGACGGATTCGTAACATAAGTATAGGTGATATTTAATATTTAAATGAGATTTTTCAATCCGAAATGTTGCGAAATTTTGACGAATTCGTGAACACGTGTAATTTTTGTTTTATTTTTATTATATAAATGTTCATACAAAAACACGTGGTGGAAATTCATAGGCTCCACTCTAACTTGAGTTCTGCTCGTGTTAGCTCGATCCCATCTTGTCAACATTTTTTTATAGCAGTTCTAGTACATTGAATTTGTTTGATTATTTGTCTTCAGGTGCGAGGGAAATCATATCGAAATGACTTTAGATCTTTTTTTTTTTAAGAAATATCATGGACTAGAAATGGGAGGTGCATTGTATGTTTATTTTGTAATATATTAATGTGCTATTTTCTTATTACATCCGAATTATACATACTCGTATTCTCAATTTCTCACAGCTTGAATTTGAACATTTATTCTCGAATTATTATTTTGATTTTGACCGTATTTAAAATATGCCTTGTTGTGTTTATCGCATATGTACTTTGTTTAAGTATGTGATGAGGAATTCTCTGGGTCCATGATGAATTCATTTTTATTTAACCATTAATTTGAATTAAAGCATCATTTAACAAAATGATGTAATTTTTTTTATTTGAAACTGTTTATAGAGTGGCATAATTTAGCATAATGTTGTTTGAAACTATTGACACAGTATAGCGTAACGAAGATTTGGTTGCGCGGTAGTTTCAGTTATTCATTCAGTCATCATCGGAATTTCGGGAGTACAAATTTCAGATTAATGCGATCACCTGTATAAAAGGGACGTCGACACGGACAGTTTTTTGATTTGTTCTCAACTTAGCACCTTTGTTATCAACAAAAACAAATGAACGAGTTGAAGTTCATCGGTTAATTGCGGCAATGTTAGCAGTTGGGATTTTAAGTCAAGTTGTCGGGTTAACTTTCTTTAGATTCCGTTCCCTTCCGCTACGCAAGTGGATGATGTGGTAGCTTGTGATTTTCGCATTCACTGTAAAAAAGCTTTAAAAATCGTATTTTAAATTAGCGCTGGGTCCGATTTGTCGCGAAACGTTCCGTCTCAGTTCGACAATCGCGTCCTTGGATTAGCCATGGAAAATCGAAATGTCAAAGTGATTTAGGAATTATCCCTCGATTCTCAGTGAGAAATCACCAAACACCTCAAATTAAATTATTTTATCCAGGACAAATTAAACGGAATAAATGCACAATTTGGTCCATTTATTGGTGCTGTGTGAAATATTCTAAGTATATGAACCCCTCCACGAGACTCCTGGTCGTAGTGCGCGATCCCGTCAGACGAGCCATCGGCAACTACACCCACCCCGTATCCAAGAAGCCTGAGATGAAGCCCTTCGAGCAGCTCGTCCTTCTCAATACCTCTATCGGCAGCATCATGGACACATCCTGCGAGCGCATCAAGCGAAGCATTTATTACTCGTGCTACCTCACTCAGAAATCACTGAAGAACTCAAATTGAATGATTTTATCCAGTATGATGATTATTATAGGATAAATTAAACGAAATAAATGCACAAATTGCAAATTTTATTACTAAAATCTCATTAAAATGCCATCTATATTGTGGTGACCGAATTTAAATCAAAATTAATTAACAGCGGCGCGAAATCACATTTGAATAATTTGAATTTGAGAAAGAAAAAAAAAGAATTCAAATCATAAATCGTTAAACATAGGCAACCAGGTGCACGGTAACGCTTGCTGGATAGTTCGACAATTAGTAGCGCTAGGGATTTTAGTTAGAGGGTTGGTGGTTAGACAGAGGGCGGCATGGTGGAGCATCAGTCTGAATGTGTTTTTGTAAATGTAAACACGTGGTAAGAACTAGTTTAAATTAGTTGGTTTGGTAATTAATAAAAGGGAGGAACCCTTTGTTTAACGACAATCAGTCGTAACTTCTATGACGACACAGTTTACCCCAACCCGCGCGGCTAATTCTTGCGGCTTTTAATAAAAAAAAAACATGCGACACACGTGCTGTAAATTTGTTTTATTGTTTGTAAATTCACCAATCATGTTAGTTTTTCTTAATTGTTGGCTAGTGCAAACACAATTTACCACCAATCAGGATTATTTAAATAAACCACTTGCTAGAAGATTCACATGAAATTCACTTAGTCAGGAAAACACCTTTGTTGTTTAATTACGAATAGGTTTCTGGATGCATATACGTAAGTGTTACATTATAACACTTCTTAATTCTTCACACAAGATTGGTAATAGTTCATTTACGGCAGTTAAATTAACTAATTCATGCCGCGAACCGGGGGGGGGGGGGGAAGTTAAATAATTTCTTCCCTTAGGCGGTTATTATCGTTATTTTGATTACACCACCGGGGCATGCCCTCACAACGCTAAAGATTGATTACATCACCGGGACATGTCCTCGCAACGCTAGAGATTGATAACATCAACGAGGCATGTCCTCGCAACGCTAGAGATTAATAAAACCATCGAGGTATTCCCACCCAACGATAAAAAATTATATCACTGAGTCGCTTTTTCCTCGCAACGATGATTGGATATTTTTGCGAATATTTATTATATGTTTTGTTGGGGTAACCAGTTCGTGGTATGCTAAACTCTCAAAGTAAATTGTTTTTTTGAAGTAACCAATCACTTAGATCATGATATTATTTGGCATAATGTAAACTCTTTGTCTGAATCATTGATGAAATGTGGCAAGTATTAATCTCATGTAAATTTTGTTAACTTTGCAATTTTTCAACTCATACAGTATTTCTCTATCTCACAATTTTAACCGCAGTAAATTTCTTTGTTGTATAATTTTAATTGAACGTAAATTTCATGCTCTACAGTTTTAACCTCACATACTTAATATTTTATTTGCACAAGTTTATTTCACACCCGATCTTTGTTTTATAAATCTTTGCTAAGTTTGATCATGTAAATATTTTGCTAGTGAATGTTTCTATCATATAAATTATCTGTCTGATGTCCAATTTTAATCTCACATAAGAAGTATTTGTTGTTTAAAATTTTACAAGATCCCATGGCGAATTTAAATGTTGTTTATTGCCCTTTGAAACTTTGACACTTGGTCAGTTGTTATTAATATCAGAATTGTAAGAGATTGAACATTTAAAATGGAATTGAGGTTAAATAACACCGAAACACGTAGCAGAAGCGGCGGGCGCGGCTCCTAGCGGGGGCTAGCGGGATTTATTGCCCCATCTGTACGAGGGTTGCAGGCTTTGAATAGATTCAGTGGGAACGGTCTGGACGATGAGGTGTTGTCAGCTTGACTTCACCCCTAGTTTTCGACCGAAACGGCCTGCTTAGGACGGCATATTCGTCATGGAGATATCGTCGCGGGGGAGACCAGCCCGAATCGGTAGCCCCAAACTCCGCTTGTGCTAGAATGCCCCTGTACTTTTGTTGTGCTTCTGTTAACTGCCGTAACTTAAAAATTTGACGCCACACGCCCGTAATAACTTGTGTATGCAGTTGCATCCAGTTACTTTAATTCAGATTTTGCTTTGTTTCTATTAAATTTGTGATATTCAAATATTTGCGTTGATTCAAACCATAAACGTAGGGTTTTTAGTACTTGTTTGGTTTTTATATGTGTATGTCTGTCAGTTGGCGAGTATCTTTTCTTTCATATTTTTAAGGTGTTTGAAATGTAATATGTCGTGAATATACGATAGGGGGTTTTGGGGCTGAGGAGTGAATGCGAGATGGCAAGTCGCCGTCGCTCACAGCTTCTTTCCTCCTAGAGAGGGGGCGCAATTTTTTTGCCCCCTCCCAAAAATTTCGTCTATTATTTCTTGCGCTCTCGACTCGCACGCAGTATATGCTCACTTATATGAAAGAACGTCTTCCCGCCACTTAAAAAAAAAAACACAGCGTAGGTTTCCATTTTGTTAGACGATCACAGCCAAGGCCAAATTTTGAATTTTTGAATTTTTTTTCGCGGGCCTTTCAAACTTTTTCAAGGTCAATTAAACACGGGAATGGGTTATCACAATATTCTACTGCGATTACATGAAATAGCGAGGGCCTGCTTGTTTTTCAATGATTAATTTAATCAGTAAGTAATAACTTTGATGACAATCTTGTTAAGATGTATCTACTTACTTGTTGGTTCATATTTTCAGCTTTGGAAGACATATTTACTTGCATGGTTAAATATCATTGGATATTTTTATATAGCAGAGAAATGGACGGAGATCAGTTTATACGGTGTGATAACCCAAACTTCCCGCCTTAAAAATTGACCTTGAAACAGTTTGAAAGGCCCGCGAAAAATTCAAAATTCGAAGTTTGGCCTTGGCTGTGATCGTCTAACAAATGAGAACCTACGTTGTGTGTTTTTTTTTTTTTTGGTTTTGAAAAATGGCGGGA